ATTGTTTTTATGCATGATACTCTACGGCAGCCAATTTACAGGTTACGGGTGTTAGAGTCAACAAAATAATGTCTCAAGAAAAGACGTAAAAGAAAAAGCTGGCCGACTTTTGTGTTCACCGCAAGTTCATTTTTTTGTCTTTCTATCGGGCCCAGTTATGTGTAAATTCAGCTTTAAATATACTTATGCATAACAGTATGTGATAAAAAAAAGTTACCATGAGTTACCATTGTCTTCTTCTTGTGTATGGATTGCTCACAAATGCTTAGGGGTGCGTTCAGTGAAAAATGTGCGATACACTTCCTAGACTACAAATTATAAACGTTATAACTACTTAAAACCTTTTTTAAAAAAGGCTAACTCGGTCTCGAAAAGCTACGAGTCTGTCGGCAGAAGAAACGAGAACTCTTTCAAATTTAACAAATGTTTTCGGCAAAAATAAAGAAAACGCTTGTTGAAAAACTTCCTGAACGCAAACTCCCAAAATAAACTCTTTGCACAAGTAACTGGAAAGAGGAGGAGAGACGTTGGGCTTGAAGTGCCAGTAAAGTACATTCAAGCGGGTATTCAAGGCATGAATTTAATATAGAAACAAGTAATAATCCACAGCAAGAGGAGATAAAGTTCGAGCTTTATCCTCTCTTGTCCAAAGAAAGGCGTTTGTTCCCACTAACGATTGAAATCCGGAATCCAAGTTCTACCAAGAGAGAATAGATCATAGTCTCTTGGTTCTACTGACAAAGACTTGAATCCAGTACCTGGAATCTGGAATTACTTACCTAATTAACTGTCTTTTCTTAGCTCTGGTGGAGTTGCTAACTTACTGTTTTCAGTGTCTGGTTTACTTTTTTTTTTGCAGCTTCATGATGTCGGGCGTTATTATTTCCTTACCTACTTACTCACTTAGTTATGATGCATGTTTTCAAGATTTGACTGAGACGTACATTGAATGGCTTCCTATTGTCAGGTTGTCCTGGTTGCCATTTAGGTGAAGAGAACAAGAAGTTATATTGAACACTCTGGGTTGCCGTCTCAGTTGTAAAAAAAAAAAGCATTAAGCGCAAATCTTGTTTCGAGGAATAGACTCCTTTCTGTGGATTATTACTTGTTTCCATATTGCCTTGAATACCGCTTGAATGAAGTTTCATGCGCCTATTTACATTCTTTTTCAGTTTTTTCTCGTTTCCTCTACCGACAGACTCGTAGCTCGAGCCCGAGTTCGCTTTTTTTAAAAAAATTAAAAGGCTTTAAGTTGTTGTAACGTTTATAATTTGTAGTCTATGAAGTGTATCGCATATTTTTCAGTAAATGAACCCCTAAGCATTTGTGAGCAATTCATAGACAAGAAGAAAACAATGGTAACTCATGGTAACTTTTTTATCAGATACTGTTATGCATAAGTATATTCAAAGCCGAATTTACACATAACTGGGTCGGATAGAAAGAAAACAAAATAAACTTGCAGTGAACACAAAAAACGGCCAGCTTTTTCTTTTAGCTCTTTTCTTGAGACATTATTTTGTTGACTCTAACAATCTGTAACCTGTTAATTGGCTACCGTAGAGTATCGTGCATAAAACAGATTTTTTTCCCTTTATATTGTCTTCATATCAGTCGTTTTCACTCAGTTACCTAGACCCCCAAATTATTTTCCCCTGCCGCGACATTGGACCCGCGACCGCGACTTTGGACCCGCGACCGCGACTTTGGACCCGCGACCGCGACATTGGACCCGCGACCGCGACTTAGGACCCGCGACCCGCGACCCGCGACCATTAGTCAAACTCAACTGCAAATTAAGCTTAAGTCTTGCTTACTTTATTTAGTTGTTCATAAATAAGCTTAAAACTAAATTTAATAATCTTTTTTTATAGAATGATTTTAAATACAAAAAGAATTCACAGCTCCTTTTGAAGAAATTTCCCCGCAAGAGCTAAACAAATGCCTTCAAAAGTTTTAGTTTGTCGGCAAGAAAAAGCGACGGCCGCGGCCGCCCGGTCATTACGCGCCAAAATTGTAATCGTTGGCAACAGCATTTGAGTTAAAAATCATCATTTTTGTGCTCAATTATCTCAATGTTTTAGTATATACTAAAACAATTATTCACCTCAGTGTCGGTGGCTAGTCGTGGATATTTACCTCACTGCTTCGCAGTTCGGTAAATATCCAGGACTAGCCACCTCCACTTCGGTGAATAATTGTTATTTACTGGCGCGATTACAGGGCGCAGTTGCTCAAAGGCCGATCAGTGCTTAACCCGGGATTCTTTTTCTTTCTTCAAAAACATTTCTTCGGATAATTTTCTCTGTTATTTTTAAGAGCATCCAATCATCAACTTGTTGACAAAATGAATTAAATTGAATTTACTGTTTTAAAAGCTTTCACATCTGAATTCAAACTTCGCACTAACCCTGTGAAAGCCTTCAATGGAATGTGTGTGCGGCTCACGTCAATAACTTTTCTAGTAATTTGGTCGAGCGTGTTGATTTCAGTGACTCGAGAGTGGCACTGTGGGCCCTAATAAATAACATAGAGTTTAAGTGTTCGTTTGTCCGGTGCCGAAATACATTTCAGGATCGCTTGACTTTTCTAAATCGATATAATGATAGTTTAGATTAGCTGGAATCTTTCGATTTTGTGAAATTTACTGAGAATATAGAACTGCCAGCCATTTAGTGTTTTGAAAACCTTGACCGGCAGTCGAGCTGAAAAAATTTCTAAGTGTCACAAAACATGATTTCCTCCTCTGAGCCTAGCGCAAACCAAACACTAGACTTGAGATCTGTAAAGCATTTCAGGATCGCTTGACTTTTCTAAATCGACATATGATAGTTTAGATTAGCTGGAATCTTTCGATTTTGTGAAATTTACTGAGAATATAGAACTGCCGACCATTTAGCAGGGTCGTAACATGGTATATGGGCTCAGGGCTCAAAGCCCAAAATATGGCTGGGATCAGGGCTCAGAGGAAAGGGCTCAGGGCTCAGAAGAATGGGATCAGGGATCACAAGGCTTTTGAGCCCGAATCAGGGATCAGATTTATTACGTATTAAGGTTTGTGTCCATAGAATTTCCTGGCCGTGGTACATTTATTTACCTATTCTTGCTTCCGGCTGGCGGCAGTTCCTGTCATACGAAGTCCAGGTTGTTTGACGAAAACAAACAAAAAAACAGAAAACATGGTATCATATTCTTAATTTGTTAATTGTTGAGGGCACCGTAATATGAATCTCAAGTCACTTTTCTCGCTTTGTAACGCAACTCCTCAACGCGCTGTCAACGCCAGAAGGCAGAGAAAGCGATTTATACATATCTTCTTTTGCGAGAAATGGGGAAGAAGAAAAAGGACGAAAAGAAATCCTGTGACAGAGAAAGGTACGTAAGTACTTCTTTGACTGATTTACTCCTGGCAAGGGTCCAAGCATAGGTTTTTTCGGCCGATCAAACATAACAACATACCGCCAGGACAATAGACAAACCGATTCATTGAAAGCGGAATTTACTGTATAGGTCCCGATTGCCTCATCGCCTCAAACAAGTCACAAGGCAACTGTAAATCGAGGCTCGTATTTTTTGACCAATAACTTAACTCTTAAAAGTACTTAAATAATTAGAATGGACATCAAAAGTAGAATACAGAAGTACAATGAATTCGCGCGCTTTGCTGCAAAATAAATGCATAACTGATAAACGCTTGTATGATAAATCACAGGCAGCCCAAGCGCACTATGTGTGGGTCCGTGCTTCAGAGGTCATTTGGTCGGAATATACCAGAATTATTAGTGTATTATCTGATGCCAAATAAATGCAAAAATCTTAAAGATATTAAGTCTTCTTATTTGTCTATCTGTACTAGTAGCCTTTAAGATAACGGAGGTTGATATTTCCTGCATTATTACAAGTGGGTTGTGTTCAGTACTCGATGGAAAGAAAGTCGACTAAACGGCGTTTAAACCGGCTGTAGGACACAGAGTGGCTATAAACTAAAGGTAAAAGAGCTTTTTAAATCAATATTTCGCTGATCATGATTTTTTTTCTTAGCGTCGTAGATTCGAATACATGTGATAAAATTCGAACAATGGGCCCGAATCACATGTAATAATGCAAGAAATATCGACCTTCGTTATCTTAAAGGCTACTAGTACAGATAGACAAACAAGAAGACTTCATATCTTTAAGATTTTTGCATTTATTTGGCATCAGATAATACACTAATGATTCTAGTATATTCCGACCAAATATCCTCTGAAGCGCGAACCTACACATAGCGCGCTTGGGCTGCCTGTGGATAAATAGTCTGAAATTTCAGGGTGGAATTAGTGAAAATAAGTGGAACACCAAAGACCAACCTCGGTGAAATAAAAGTAACAAAACCTTTATAATTTATTTTCTTTAGTTTTTTTAATATAAAATAAACAGTTGAATTGGTGAAAGGAATGTTGCATACTAGGTACAAGTAGCAGAGTCTGCAGGAATTTAATACATTATAGCACTCAGCATGAAGGGCCACTAGTAAGGGGCCCACTATTTGATTTTTGAGCCGGGATGGGTTATTTTTTTCATGCATGAGTTTTTCAGACCTCATTCGTGCAGTGGCTATTTTGTTTTGCACAAAATTTACAGACCTAAGTGACAATATTGATATACAAGAATTTTTTCAACCCTTTGGGCTATTTGGCCTCGGCTTACGTAATTGTTGGTCCCGAAAGGTATCACCACCTTAGATTTGGAGCCTGAATTTTTTAGTGGAGTGAGAACACCCGCTCTGAACGACTATGCATCGCAGCGGCCCAGCTGAATTTTAGAATTAATAGAGAGGCTCTACCAATCCTCGTTTATCTTTTATACCGGTCCCCAAAGCCATTACACAAAGAGAAAGTTGGGTCTAAAGGCACCGGAATGGCTTCGAAAGTCGCACGGCAAGAGTAAACCTTAATGGGGACATTGACGAGGAAACGAGCGTGGAGGGAAAGGAGCGACAAAGAAAGGCATTGTAGAGCTTTGCGAAAGAATTCGGACGGGGTGTACGACAGCAACGAACGAGAGGGAAGACCAAAGAAAGAGCTGGTACACTTCCACTTGCTCTGAGTATGTTCAGAAGGAATGCGTCCGGATATGGAGAAGTCGATCTGCAGAAAGAGGTTCAAAGGAGTGAAGAACAAACTGCAGTTCAAGACGCAGCCGAAGAATTGAGATTATCTATTCAAAAGGCGACGTAGTTGCTCTTAAGCACAATTACAAGAGGTGTATCATTCCTTTCCTCCTTGCAGTTCTTTTAAAGGATCTCCACCATAACGGTGACGCATTCCTGGAAGATCACATGGGTTTGAGATGGCTGGAACAGTCAGAAGAAGATCCCCTTGTATACCAGACTGAGCACCGTGACGATAGAAATTCACCTAAGTGTATCATCGGGAACGTTTAAATAATAAAAGATGGAAACAACTTCTGTTTGAGCTGCCATGAAGAGCAACGCCTAGTTGCATTGCTCCAGGGGTCAGTTGAATCAGACGATTCACGTGCGTCAGGTGGTGACGAAGAGGAAGGGGAGCAAGCCCAGGCGGACAACTTTTCAGAGCCAATTAGATTTGAAGCTGGAAGGAGTAGGTCTGGAAGACCTACAACCAGATATGTCCTCCGACAATCTACAATGGTTATTAAGCCAGGAAAAGCCATTAATGGGCTTGACACAAAAAAGCTGTTAAACTGTAGAACCTTTGGCTTCATTTAATTTTTTTACTTCATGTAAAGCAGATATTTTGCTATTGGTAATTGATCGTGATCCTCACTGTAACATACACAGAGTGAAAGAGGAAATTCACATAAGACTACTGACAACATCAACAGCGATAGCAGAATAGCAAGCTCTGATAGAACCTACAACTTGCACTAAAAATTAAAGTTTATGTTTTTCTCATCAGCCCATTTGAGCATGTCCTATATTCTATATTTGGAGATAAACAAAGTTGCCTAAGTTCAAATTTTGTGTAAAAACTTGGATGGGATCAATTCTTTTATCAGGGCTCAGGGATCAAAATTTTGCGGGAAATGGGACTCAGGGATCAAAATAACGGCAAGAAAATAGGGATCAATGGGTCCCGAATATACCATGTTACGACCCTGATTTAGTATTTTGAAAACCTTGACCGGTTACCGGCCATATAGCCACAGCGATGATCAAATGGCGCCGCCGAGCTTCACATCTCGGTAGATTTACTTTGAGGCACAACGGCTGCCATGCTACACAACTCTGTAGATTTACTTTGTGACACAACGGCCGCCGAACTAAACCCGGTTTGATGCATGCACCAGGAGCAGACATTTTTCCAAAGAGTCCAAAGATAGTCAGACGAACCATGCTGAAAAATATGAAGGCTTATAATCCAAAGTAAAATCTAACAGCAAACTTCTGAAAGATGAACGCTTTGGACGATTCAGCAAACACAGATCGATGTACGCCTTACGAAGATTCAGCAAACTTTTTAAACGATGAACGCTTTACGAAGACAGAAGATGAACGCCGAGGACGCAAGAATCACCACGTGCGTTAGCGCTTCAAAGTGAGGCAAAACGTAAGCAAGCGCCTCAAAGCGAGGCAAATGTGTGTCGACGACGAAAAACCCTCCCTTATTGGGCCACAAACGGAGACCTAACAAAGACCTAAGATTGGGGCAAATTGTTTATATATTAGTCTTTTATAACATTTCATTTTCTTTGCTTCTTCCACTGGACGGCTTCTAATTTAATTTTTTGTGCCGTGTTTATTGCGTGACAGTGAAAAACGAAGAATTCACTCAGAAAACCAGAAAGTCCTTTCCTTTCAAGTGTTAGTTTTTGAGGTAGTTTCGCTTTCCAGTTTAGTCTTTACGACACGGTTCAGATAAGTTTTTGCGGTATATGTTAAGTTCAACAGCCACCAAAGCGTAGCGTCTGCCCGGGAGCGTCTGCATCTGATTTGCATCTAACTTCTACTAATTTTAAACTAGAACCGAGCTTTAATTAATTAAGGCCTTGATTTTTGAAGGGTGTTACCATAACTAAGACCCTCGAAAACTAAGACCTAACACCTAATACCCGTCTTAGTTTTCGAGATTACGAACCGAATCTGTCGAAATGTGAAGTCAAATTGTAACCGAAATAGGTCTAATCACATGTAGCTCAAGCTCGAAATAGGACATCGGCGAACATCGGCACTGTTGCGTAACATTCGAAATACAAGTATTTGTATGGGAAAAAAACCTATCGTTTCTGCAACCTACGAAAATGAAAGGATTAAAATGAAAGGATTTCAATAAAAAACAGCTTACCTTTCTTAAAATGTGTGTTACGTCTCTCCTGTGTGGTCCACGGGCCGATTTATGGCCGTTTTATGGGTTTTTATGTAAACGGTTTTCTCTCTATATAAAGGTTCAGCCGTTTACATAAAAACCCATAAAACGGCCATAAATTTTAAGACTTGACCGAAACCGGAAACCGCGCGTGAAAAGCCTCTGGCACCCAGGGTTTCTAACATAGGGCTAACCTCGACTAATCTCTCAACTCCCTTTTCAAGATGTCTTTTAATATTATGTTTTTCCTGTAAATAAGCTTGTTTACATCTTGAATAAAGTTACTATGTATAGAAATGCATGTATGTATGTATGTACCTTGTTTCGAATTTGATGACCGCATGAATTAGCCTACGAGAGCATCCGGTTTTTTCGGCTCACCGAAAAAACCGGATGCTCTCGTAGGCTACGCAATTCGCTCGACAAAAACTCGTTTTTCTCGGGATAAAAAGCGTGAGAAAACTTGTAGCTTTCTGTTTTGCTCCAAAATAGTTTACATCTCACAGAATCCATATAGCGTATAATGAATGTCAGGGAATGAACCACAAAAATGATCCGTGCATTTATTCGAATCAATTTCCTCCGTTACATTTTTGCAATCTTGTTGAAGTGAGGTTGGTTAGTAAAATTTGTTATAAATGAGCTGTTTTGATGGGCTCCTGTTTGTATTTTGTTGCGGGGCTACTTGGGTATCAGCTCTAGAAGCATAATTTCAAGTGAGGTAGATAGACGCCCACATAACAACAGACTTGGGAAATAAAGTTTCCTTATACTTACCTCTGAGGAGCAAACGGAGCAATTATTTTTTACTAACGAAAAACTTAATTAAATCCGAATAGCTTCGGTAATCGAAGCATGTAGTATATAGGTAATAAAAATGTTTCACTCATCTGCCCTGATAGTTGGAATATGCGGGCCCCCGTGGAGAGAGATGCTCCAGAATTTTCGAGCGTTTATTGGCCAATTTAAAAGGGCTCCTTACTCCTAAGATTGAACGGTATAATTGTACCATAGACAGAATATTTATCCCCTCATTGAGAAGCGATTCGTTCCCAATTCTGAGACATTTTGCTCTTATTTTTGAAAGCCATTTTTCTTATTCTGATTTTTTCTTGAAGGTATTGTTTTCAGTGGAAGGCTCCTATAGAATCTTGCGTCAGCCCAACTGTTTTTAGTACAGAGTACGAGCAGTCTTTCTTTTGTCTTAGTCCGTCGAGCAAAACGCCCGAGACACGCAAATGACCACCCGCGTGAATGAAGACGCGAGACAGGAGAGACACGACAAAAGAGAGAGTTTTTCGTCTCGGGCTGCCGCCCTCGTTTCTCGCGTCTCGCGGCTTCGCCGCTCAACGCTCGCGCGCGCGTGCACTCTGAAGAAAAGGAGAGACTGCTAGCAGTCTACTTTTAGTACGGATGTAACCTTATTTCTTTATAGGCAATTTTGTAGACTTGGCACCTCTCAAGTCCAAAAAAGATATCCTCGATTTAATCGCATTACTCCAAGCGCAGTATTGTGGAGTTTCTGAGTTACAGGCCATTAAAGGTGATTTTGGTCATGATCTTTATCGATCGGTAGGAGTATGGTGGCCGAGAACTGCTAAACGAAAAATCCGCATTTTGAAGGAATTTTCTCAATTTTTTTTATTTTTAAATGTAACTATTTTCCACTTTCTTTTTAATTTTTATTCTAATTGAAAAAAAGTGAAAGTAAAATCAAGTGAAATCAAAATAAAACGAAATGAAACCAAAGTAAATCAAATCAAATCAAAATTAAAATAAAATAAAATACAATTTTCGACCTAGCCGAGCCTGCCACAACCCGTATGCATTATGTACATCACGTAGGTTTTGTGTTGTGTCTACGACCAGCTAAAAGATGGCGGATAACAGGTTTTCACCGTGGAAAGAACATCGCCTTCTTAAAGGAGCGATGCAGATCATGAGATGTACGTTAAACAAGGTCTTAAACGCGAAAAGGTAATCGATTTTTTGCGAGAACAGCTTTCCTTAGTAAGCCTGGAGTATCCAACCTCTCAACAGACGTTTGTGCCATTCCGGAGTTTGTAAGAAGACCAAAGATAATACGGCTGTTTCGACTGAAATTGGATGGCCCAGGGAAAACTACTGGGTAAAAGAGCAATACACAAGAAAGTCATACAGAAATACCTTATTATAGGAAATTAACGCTCCATGAAATTAATGCGAATCGTTAAAATTCGCGTTAATTTAAGTTGCGTTAATTTTGTTGAGCGTTAATTTCCGCGCTCTTAATTTCCAGTATTTTAACCTCAATTTTGGAACCTGTTCAGACATTCTTGGCATCTAAAAAACGTTAACTACAAGCCTTCTTTCTTTCCATTTACCCTTTATTTTTCATCTTTCACAAAAGCTAAGGAGAAGGTTTACAATATTTCGAGTTCATCTTCATCGTTGTCGCTCTCAGAAGTGACGTCAGCTCAGTTTTGAATTTTTTTGCATACAGTGTTGAAATAAATTTGTTCCAGTTGTCACCACCGTGTCTTAATCGCGTTAATTTCCTTTATTATGAAATTCCACCTCCTCTTTCGCGTTAATTTCCTTTATTCGAAAGTCGTTTTCCATTAAATTCGCGTTAATTTCCAATACCTTAATTTCATGGAGCGTTAATTTCCTATAAGGTATGACATTTGGTTAGGCGAGATCAAGGGTAATGTGAAATGTCTCTGGCAAGCACTTTTGATGTTGCCAATCGTCATCTCTTCCGTATAGTTATGGGGGGCTATCAGGGTCAAAATTCAGTTTTCCTGTTCTGTGCTGTTGTGTTCTATTTTGTTGTTTTGTTATGATGTCTTGATGTCATTTGTTTTAACATTCTATCGTTTTGTCACTAATATCTATCTTTGTACAGATAAACGTCTTAAATTGTACTTTTTGAAATCTTTATATAAGTTATCGTTCCTACAGGGAAAATGAAATTGAATTTTTATCGGGTACACGGTTTGTGGCGACACTCATTTCCCAGCTAAATCGTGTTGTATTTCTGTAAATGCCGAATTAAGTTTCTTGAGCCGTTGTTCTAAGGTCTTCTTGGTCAGCGCATTCTCTTGCAAAAGAATGCGCATCTCGTCCTCAACTTCTAGAACCTGAAAGGAATTGTTAGGAAAATGAGAGCACGAAAATTTCTTTTATCAACCGAGTGAAAAGGCCATAACACGGGGCTTTCAACTCATGACTTTGTTACAGACCTGGCACCGGTTCCTGGAAAACCGATTAGTCCTAATCAAGGCCCCGGTTGTTCAAACGTTGGAGAGCTTCTCCACTGGATGAATCGCTATTCAGCGGATAAATATTACGGAATCAATTTGCGTTATCCAGTGGATAGAGATTTATTCAGTGGATAGCACCTTTTGAACAACTGGGGCCAGAATTAAACATCGTTAATCGCGAAATAAATTTTATCCCACTATTAGATTCTGTTCCTTAAGGGACGATTAATGCTAATCTCGGAGAATTTCACGAAAAAAATGGCGAACTTACTGTTCCCTTTAATGGTCCACAAATACATCAAAGAAACTTCCTACGGCAAGAAACTGATCTCAAACAATCCACTGACGAAAAACTTCGCAGCAGACTTAGGTTTAGTGGTACAAATCCTCAAGGATGATCTCTAGAGACAGACGAGGAGAAACCGTGCGCTGCTGTCACCAACATTAGCGCTTCGCTTTTTTCTCACGGCCGCTTCCACCAAATTATTTACACTTCACTAATCGCCATTTTTTTCGCAGTTTTACTTCACCCTTGCCTCAGTTTGACCGGTTCATGAATGTTCAGTTTTAGTTTTTTATCTTACCCTTGCGTTGGCCTGGTCTATCTCCTGCTGTTTTTCACTGGTTAGTGTTTGAATTTGTTGTTCGTGAGCCTGTCTTTCCTGTTCAAGCTGTTTGCGGAAGGCATCATCACACGCTTTCAATCTTTCTACAGCGGAACTAAAAAAGCAAAACAGAAGATTATTTCTATGAAACAATGAGAAACCATCAAATTCCCGGGCAACCTCGTCCCCAGGGCTTTTCCACGGTCCCTCCCATTTTCTAAGGGAAAAGCCCTGGGGACGAGGTTGATTCCCAGGGTCTCTGTTCTCCCAACTCTTCTCCTCCCATCCAGAACGTGAGAGACTGGGGAGAGACGACAAAGGGGATGAGAAAAAGGAGACTTTAAAGCACCATGCTGGTAGCCCGGCAACAGTTGGTTTGTGGGCGGCCTTAATGCGCGGTTCGATTCCCAGTTGTGACCTCAAATCTTTGTTTCGACTTCTTTCCTTTCCGTGTAGCTTTTTAAAGCTACAAAAGAAGCTTCAAGCACCCATGAAACGCAGCACTGATGGAGAGAGGGAGAAAAAGGGAGCACCACAGGTCAGTTAGTCAGATGATGACTATTTAGAGCTATCGTAATCGAGATGAAATTTGGACCCTTTACCTTATAACCCTGTTGAAGCCCTTTTTTTCAGGCTTCTTGATTGTAATTGACATTTAAACTGAAAAGGACAGCAAACGAATATGCCGCAAAACGTAGCACCTATAAAAGACCTGACCAGCAAAAATATATTGAGTAGACACTGAATTCTGCAAAGCTGATCGTACTAGGTGAAAATTAACTTTCCAAGACATCAACACAACACCGAAAGAACCAAAAACAGCGCGGGGTCGTAGCCGTAGACAGCTGTTTCGCCCTTTTTGAGGCTCGTAAGTACGGCGCAACGAACAGAGAGGCCGGCTCTGCCGTCAAATTTGTGGCATTTATTTTCGAAAGTCTAATACGCACACAGTTACTCAGTTAATTAGTAACCACGACAAATCATATGCTCCGTTTACGTCCAAAGAGCAATCAACATAAATTTTCTCCCAACAACAACAATACATCATCAAGAGAAAAGGTTTTGAGAATTAATAGAATGATCAACAAAGTGAATGATTAGATCCTTTAGCAAATTCTCTCAAGTAACTCTTTAGCGAAATGTTTGATATCAGTCTGGAGAATCTGTATGTGGAGATTGCGGCACATCCCAGGGTTAGAGGTAGCCGAACTTTCTTGGTTTGTATACTGTATTTATATTTTCAATCATTTTCCTGATATTCCATGGCTTAATCTAACCATAGTTATTAAAGTGGAATGGTTGTGAAACTCGTTAGACTCCTTTGTTATATGTTTTTGTTAGCTTTTTTGGAACTGACCGTGCATAACGCTAAATAGCATTCCTATCATTTTGAACTTACTAACCAATAGAAACATTGCATTAATTTATTCAGTAACAATTCGCCAACAAAAATACACAAAGGATTGTGCACGTTCAGGGAGCTTCCAACATAAACTACTCAACAGTTGTTTTCAACTTTGAACCAGTAACCAGTCTCCTCTACTAACTATGATCGAACAAAAAAATGCTAAACGTACTCAGCTGCTTTAATAGCTTTGTCTCTCTCTTCAGTTAGTGTTTTCTCTTTTTCTTTAAAGCTGTTTCGCATTTCAACAACTTCCTTTTCCATCCTTCCGATGAGTTCACTCTTTTCCTGCCATTTAAGCTTTAGGGCCCTATCAACTCAGAGAAAGAAAAATAAGGGACGGTTTTAATTCTAGTTCCTCTAGTTCTCTACAATCAGAATTGTTGATCCCTAGCCAACGAGGGATAATTAACACTACTTTGTTCAGTCTATACGTAATTGTATGACCTTCAAAAGGCTGTGAGTTTGTATCTTATACACCTTAAATCGCTGATCCGAAGGTACTCAGCACCGCAGTCGTGGATTCTCGCGCGAAGAGCGCAAAGGTGGTGTCTCTCCCTATCTTTCTCTCTGTTTTCACCCACCTTTCCTTAAAAAACACGCGCAAACTACGACCAACGAAAAGATACGACTGACCACTGGCAACTCTTAAAGACCTCTATTTTCTCTATGCGGTAACCTGCTCCTCAAACTGATGACAGCAAGCCTACATGATTAGCTTCAAAGTCATTTACACTTCTTGGCAAGCGAGTAAAAACGAGACCTGTCAAACCAGTCATGGCCATCGAATAAGATTCACTTTACACACCTGTGATTCTCTTTGCTTGTTTGTAGTTCTTCCTGTGTTTTGTTTAGTTCCTGTTTGAGCGATTCTTTACGATCGATAAGCGCGTCCACTTGTTCCTAAAATAAAGCGACGGAAACTCAGTGTCTCAATGGCCTGACAGAGGCTAATTCGGCTAAGTACCTTAAGGTATTACTCGGCAAGTGAAATGGACTACTTCTCCCGAAGTGGTGCATAAAAGCGTAAATGGTTTCAACTATGGGGCGTTGCCTGAGCGTTTAACACGGTTAAGTACCCCCAACCGTACCCCCGATCTCTACTTAAAGAGTATTACAACAGTTTAAGAAGTATTAGGGACCTGACCTGCAGTTCCTGATTAGCAGCAGACTCGGCAGATAACTGCTGTTCGAGGTTTCGTTCCCGCTCTTTGCTATCTTCTGCTTTCTGGCGCAAATCTGAGTCTTGATCAGCGAGTTTCTGAATAAGATCAACATGATTTATTATTCTAATTAATGTTAGCCTGTTTCTTTCGTTCAATAGTCCATTTTCGAGTTCGCTATGACCCCTGAATTAAAGAAGTGAAGACGCATTTTTTACAGCCTTAGCCTCAATCTGAAGTAATATATTCACAAATTCTAACTAGAAAAAGACCTGTTTATTACTCTGTCTATTGTGTATATTCAAATTTCAAACACTTACTTGCCAGAATTTCTGAATATTTTACTTTACGTCGAGGCTAACCCTGTATGAATGTCTCGTTAATGTTTATATTCAGCGGTAACTTTTAATTCGAAACTGGACTATTAATATAGTATACTCTTTTATTATCAGATTGGTCAACTCTCTCGATATAGTACTTTTCATTTGCGTGAAAAAAATAAGAACTAAAAAGCCAAGAAAAAGACACGCCCGGTCAGTCGGGTTGGCTTAGTTTCCCCAATCTCATCCCATCCGTATTTCCATTGTAAAAGAAATTCTATTAGACTTATATGAAGTAACAGTAGAAGGGCAGTAGTCATTGAACGCAGCGAGGCGTGCGGAAAGAGCGCGGAGCGGGACTGTTCACCGTCCCCTATTTTGTCGTAAGATCGTTAGGATCGAGCGCTCTCGGGTACGGGCGGCCATCTTGGTTTCATATGTACCAAGGGGACGGGCGTCAGGGACCGGGGACGTCGGGTGATCTTACGGAAAATCAAGGGACTGTGAACAGTCTAGCGCGGAGCAGGAAAAGTCCCCTACTGACTCCATTCACGGTTGCGCATAAACACGAACCACAACCAACCGAGTTTTTTGTCCTCCCACTTTTCAACTTCTGCTACGGACAACGATGCGAAAGAGTACAGTGCAATGAACCGAATTTCCGAATACAGCATAGTTAACATACCACGCCCAATATTTAACAATTATTCTTCGAGCCAGAATGGGCTATTGACTAAGAAGCCATAAGGGCGAGAGGAATAATTGTTTTAGTGAAATCCAACTGGTTGGTCAAAAATATCGAAAGAAAACAACGTAGCTATCAAAACACGATTTAGCCGCCATTGTATCGGTTTTCAAAGCCGGCCCACTAGACCACTAGTTGGATTTCACTAAATTCAGTTAGCCTTGGAATACCGTCGGGGATATTATGCTCATAGTCTAACCTGTTTGAGTTTTTTAATGGAGTCTGTTTGGTCCTCTATTACTTTGGTCTTGATGGCTACCGTTTCATTAGCACTCTGAAATAAATAATGATCAAAACCATATTACAATTTTACAAAACTTAACTTTTAACAGCAAAAGCAGTTTAGTTCTGTTGTGATCAGTCATTGCCGCTAAGGTTCAATGTAAAAGAGACCTTTTACAGAAAGGTGTTATCTTCACTTTAAAGCTATAAGCTGAATTGGAAACGTCACTTCTAAGCCGTCTCCAAGCCGGCGATTGCATAGATAAGAATTTTGGAGACCTTGTCATATTTCCTTTTTAAAAGTGACGGCTTTTAGGGAGCATTCATTTATCTAGAGGGTGGGCTATGATGATTTCCTTATTTTTTCCTTTCATTTTTTTGAAGCCCCCCCCTGATCATCTAAGGGTTTTTTTTCTGCCCCCCTCAAGAGATGTTGATTTATCAAAGGAAAATATCATAGCCCCCCCCCCTAAATCATAGTAGGGAAAAAGAGTGACCCCCTCTCAAAATCATCATAGCCCACCCTCTAGGTAAATTATGAATGCTTACTCAGAGGTAGAATTTTTCCTTTATTCTGAGACTGAAAAACATGAGGAACGAGGAACTATATTTGGATTGCTCAATGTACCTAGAAAATAAGAAATGATTCGATTTGTTCAGAAGCAGTCTGCGTATCTGTTTCGTCTGTAATCCAATCTTCTACTTATTAGCTCATGCAAGGCAAGACATGAGGCATGCAAACCCGGAGATTATTCCAGTTTCAGTAGCAGGAAGCACCTGGGAGTACAAGTAACCCCCTAAGCAGACCCCCTCCCCCACCTGCCCAGCTGTAATCGCAAAGTTATCCGAGCAGTTTAGTAGTGCTGGAATAACTGTGCGATGGACTACCGGTCCAGGGGGAGTAGTAACAAATTACGTCTCTGGGGCACCTTTATAAACCTAGCTTGAGTTTCAGTGCTCGTATAGGAACGAAAAAAAGATAAAAGCGTGCCCCAACGTAATAGGCCATTTCCGATTTGCCCAAACCCTCAGTTTCCAAGCGAGGCTCGGTGCGAAGTCATTAAGATGTAGATGAAATTTTTATTCGCATGCAAATAAACTCATTGTCTCAAGAAAGGTTTTGAACTTAGCCTCGTTCTAAAAGCGAGAGATTTACGAACTCCGAAATGGCCAATTACGTACGCCGTTAAAGAATTCACCTGGCACTCTTTTTTGAGTCCGCTGACCTCAGCAGTAAGTGCTTCAATGCGCGCCTCCATTCTTCCGCGATCCTGAGCAAGTGAGGCCCCTGTTAACATTGGACGAAAATTGCTTATGTAAGCCTTTATAAACAACTCCACAGGAACAAACTACGTACTCTTTAACAATTCTTAAAGACAGGGTTCCTACCCTTTTTTGAACAACAAATTCAAGGACTTTTCAAGGACACATTTCCCATTTTTCAAGGATGCCATTCAGTGCAAAAACGAGTCTTGAGTCTACGTCTTTTTTTCTTCTTCCACAACAGGAGCAATATTATTATTAAAAGGTCTTTCTGTGTTTGCTGGGTTGGATAAAGTTAGCACCGAAATTCAAGGACTTTCGAGGGGCGTGCGAACCCTGTACGAAAGTTCTGCTTTCCGAAATAATTCAAAAGCCCACACAAAGGAAACCACTTATTGCAATTCTTCTTCTTTTCTAAGTTGATATTTTTATACCTTGTTGTGCAAGCTCTTCGCTCCATAGCTTTCTCTCCGATCTCAAACCTTCAATCACTGATCCTTGAGCACGTATCTGGGCTGACAACTTAGATTTATCCTACAATTTATATGGAACAGCACTTCAGCAGTTAAACAACAACAACAACAACAAACTTTGAGGAGTGGCCACATCGACAACATTTGCTCCTTTGACCACTACTCATCTCTCCCTTATCAAGTATAATTCCACATTTTTTTTCCTTCTATTTTTATATCTTAAAGCGTTTTGTTGCAATCGAACTACAGTGTAGAATTCTGAGTTTGCATTTAAGATTACGCTAACCTGTTCTAGTACTTCCAGTCTTGATAGATGTTTGTTAGCTTCGCTCAACTGCTTCTCTAAGTTTTGAATTCTTTCCTGCAAGAAAGGTAAGCATTAAAAAAGAGATGATAAAGCGTGCGCCACTGCTGGACGAATAGGACTACTTCTGGGCAGTAGTGATTACTCTTTCGATCATAACATTACGCCTGGGATGAAATAATCAACCCTCGAATGTTATAATACCCCCGAGATGCATGAAATTATCTCTCGATAGTACCGTGTTTCCTCGAATAATAGCCGGCCGTGTAGATCAGATTCTATTTCAACTTGACATGGAGGGGATAAACGAAAGAGAAGATGGCGAGAGGGGTGGGGGGTGGGATTATTCGAGGAAATACGGTACCTGAAGATAGACTAATCCCGCAGATATTGTGATTGCCCCTGGGAATTAGATTACCCCTGAGCAGAAGTGACTCATTCCTCACTTCCATTATGTTAATGGCGTGGCAATTCCTCAAAAAATTAAGACTACTATGAGACGATGATGCTCAGCTATGCAGCTAGATAGGCAACTCAAGTGCCAGGGTTGGATTGCCCATGTACTTGAGGATTGCTTCTCGGGTTGGTCCATATCACTGCAGGCTACGATCGTTTTAAAAACGATATCCTGAAGTAATATTGACTTATGTAGTAACTTGTTTCAATTTAAACATACTTTGTAATCACCGACTATTTCCTGTCTTCCTCTTGAAAGCTCTGTAAGTCTTCCGCGCTGTTCCTTCACCATCTAAATCCAAGAAAACATACAAACAGAAGTAAGGGGAGTCAAACACAGGAAAAATCGTAATTTTTGCAGCAGTATGCAAACCTTGAAATAAGTGATCTTTTTTATACCAAAATACTATCTCGAGGGAGTTCACAAGGACCATGTGCTATCATGACATCAAAGAACATCCTGCAGTACTTAGTAACTTATCTTCACTTTTTATAGATATAGTGCCCGCTAAAAGCGAAAAGACAAACCCTCATCACATGATAAAACTTTAAATTTATTAACTTTTGTTGGCGTACATCTTAAGAGTTCTTTCCTTCTCTTGCCTAGAATGCCTGTTACTTGTTCTCTTCATTTATCGGAGCTCTCTTATATTCCATTTTTAAGACCGTAGAAATTTAAAAAAACGCTCAAAGACTGGGACATAAAGGGGAGAAGGAAGCGTGCAAGGAGTGAGGAAGAGAAAAAACGAACAAATTTATTCACTTCATCCTATCTCCCGCCGGGGCCCCTTTAGAGGTGGCGGGTGGAATGGCCGGCAAGGGGAGAAACGGAACGCGCTCGGCTTTTAACCTTTTACTCAGGGCGGATTTACTATTGTTCCACGTGCGTTCTTCTTTTGAATGGCCCTTATGCATGATTACGTCATATGAGCAAATTTCACCACCAGGCCGGATGTTACTAAAACGGGGAACGGGAGAATGGGAACAAAACAAAGAATTGGAGAGAATTTACTGATAGGGCTAGGGTTCAAGTTAGGCTTTGTTCCCATTTTTCATTTTCCGGTTCCCCGCTCCCCGTTCCTCGTTTTAGTAACATCCCAGCCAGGCCTCGTTTGTAAGCAAAATTCTTCGCACTTGCGCTCTCTTTGCGTTGGTACTCTATTCAGCTCTAAAGTATTGCCTTAGGAATTCATTTATGCAAAACTCCGCAGCTTTACAATTTGAAAACGAGGCTTGGGGATGAAACTTGCTCGTATGACGTAAACATGCATGAGGGTTATTGTTTATTTGTCAGTTTTCATCATCTCTTAAGCTTTGGTTCACGAATAAGAGCCTCTGTCGGCCTGGAAAAGTGATCTCTGGCTCCCCAAGACTTAACTAGTATTCAAGAAACCTTACCGCCGTCAGCTCAGTGACCATGTTTGTGGCTTTGCTTTCCTTTTGTTTAAGAACATGTAGAGCTTCTTTTTGTTGAGCGCTTTCATCACTTACTCGCTGAAAAGCGTCTTGTAACTGTTTAGTAAGAAAAAAGAAACGTGTAGGCTTTAAACCATAGGCCATATCCGAGTTGCGCCAAGCCTCTTTTTAAAGCGAGGTTAAGTCATTCACACTACGCTGGATAGCTCTTGCGCCGGCACGAAAATCATACAGGATAGGGCTTCTGTTCACACGTAAGAACGGTGATTTTGGTGCGAAGCTGAGCCGCGCCGATCTCAGAAGTGGAGAGTCACATATTGGATAAGCGTTCACACTATAACAGATAGCATCTATGTCGGCATGAAAAGCCATCCGGTACCGTGTGAACATAACCTAAGTGCGCAGCCAATTATGAGAAAATGATTTTTTATTCTCATGCAAATAAAACTCGTCTTCACAAGAAAGTTTTTGCACTTAGCCTCGTTTTGAAAGTGAGAATTTTTGGAATGCGGAACTGGCCTATACGTCACTTGCACATCTCCTATAATGCACCTTATTTGCCCCCTTCCCCCCAAATTTTGCATAACCTTTGTTTTCATTTCCCCTGGGTATTACAGCCGTTCCAAGAAAAATTGTAAACAATGCTTATGCAAAATTTCGGGGGGTAAACAAGGTGCATCATGGGTGATCTGTAAGTAAAGTATTCATATTTTGCAAGGTAGGAATAGAACTGAAATGAAGTATTAAAAAACGCACTTAGAAAGTTGATTGACGATCAGATGGCACTTTCTTATCATAGCCTAAAACTACACTGCAGCTATTTAAGATCTTGGAGCAACATATGAATTACGTTGCCACAAACGAAAAACACACTGATTTGATTTCGTTTGTGCTAGCTAAATTTTGATTGGCCCATTCATTGGCTTTAAGATTATGAATTGACGGAAAAAACAATACTTCAGATTTTTCATGAACTGATAAAAATGCTTTTCAAAGTCGTGACCCACCTCTCTAAAGCGATTGGCTTCGATCTGAAGACCCATCCTAAACTCATCTTCGAGTGCAGCATATTCCAGGTCACGCTTATTTAACCTACGAAAATGTAGATCATTTAAAAGTTTAAACTTCTTGTACTTTAATTGACACCGACGTAAATAAGGTGATTGCTTTTTTTAGTATATAACAGACATGTGAATTGCCAGCCGCACGCGGAAGCAGCGTGGCCGAGCAGTTAGGGCGCTGGACTTGTATTCCTTCCCTATTACACAAACTTTCGTTGGGAAGGAACGCGTGACAGAGCCCTGCGTGGGAAGCTACACGAAGAACAAACAAGTGGGAAAAATCTCTCGAGGCCAGCCATTCAGAAGCACTGTTAAACTGGGCACCAACGTCATGTAGTTGAAATGCTAGAGCATTCAGTCTGACCTTAATAGATTACAAATATTTTGTCTTTTCAGAAACAGCACAAGCACTTCACAAAGACATGATCGCACCACGTTACCATCATAATTTACTTTGCAACATCAAAACCGGTTTAACTGGTTTCTTACTTGTCTTGATATTCTTTAATGAATTGCTGATGGAGAGTCTCTTTCTTAGCGACCTCCCGATCCACAATGACTTGTACCTCCTGACTGTCAACTCGTACCAGTCCTTCTACAGCTTTTCTGAAAGGGACGAAGCAAGTGAGAAAGAAAAGGTAGTCTATACGCATTATTCAGAATATTTCGCATTGCGCAATTAGAGACGCTTTCAGTCATGTGTTAAGAATAATTTGTGCATGTTCTGTTCTCCGTGATTGGCTGAAAAATCACTTGCAACACTTCTAAACCAATCAGAAGTAAACCTATATCCTTAAGTATGGGAATCGCCTAAGTATGGCTGCCCTTTCTCTTTAGCCCGTATGGTTATTTGGGGCAGACTGTACTGTACGGTATTTCATACTGTTGGGTACCAACACTCGAGGCCGATTTCATTTTATGACTCAAAATCTCATTGCTTTATTTAATGGACTGATTCTATTACAACTGACCAAAGTAATAGCTCCCACGCAGCCGTTTTTAGGCGTTCGGGGGGGAATGATGACGAACGCCTAAGAACGTCTGTGTGGGAGGCTACCAAAGTAACTGTTTTGGTTTTGGGTCAAACAACAGGTTCTGATATGAATAAACAGGAAGGGGAGGGGAGGGAGAGAGAGTGGACCTCTAGTCAAGGGACAAGTCCATTCAAGGGACACCAAATTGGATCAGGAAAAATGTTCATATAGGGTGCTTTCCATTTGCCAAACAAACCAGTTAGAAACCAGAGGAATTATCTAGAGAAAATGGAACGACATTTTTCAGTTGAAAGAAAGTTTCCAATCGAATCAAGCGATCCATTTACATTTCGACCGAAATTTTGACTACTGCCTAGCAAAGTAGGGCTGGGAACGAGAATTTTTGGAAATGGAACGGCAAGTTTCGGACAAAGCGAACCGACCGGTCAAAGAGGACCACCTCTGAAGGTGGACCACTTTGAACGGAAAATTTCCACGTTCCATTTGTTTCTCGACCGAAATTTCCGAAAATTTTGGCATAATGGAAAGCACCCATAATCTTACCTCTATTGAAGGGAGACCTCTGTTCAGGGCCGAGGAACAGTTTACTGATTCCCGACACCAAGGTTTAACCTCCTTTCAGGAGACACCTGAGCACTCAGGGTCCTTGTGGACTACGCTATAACGGATGATGGCGTTGTTGAAGACAGTCGGTCACTGAAAGTTAGGACGACTCAAAAGCTAATGTTTAAGAGCGCTAACTTTCGGCCGATTTTTGTAGATCTTTAGAATGATGAGATTGTTCAAAGTACATTTACCTGTGTTCCTGTTCTCTGTTTGCAAGCAGCTCTTGTAGCTGATGAACTTGGCCCTTCAGCTGCTTAACTGAGTGTTTTAACAACTCTGTCTCTTTTGTTAAGGCTCCAACTTTCATCTGTTCACGTTGTAACTGGGAAACCTGCAACAACACAGTCGTGGAAATCAATCACGTGGATAAGTATGGCTTTGGAATACTACGCTTCGCGATTGGCTGAGTTAAACCAATCATAATCAAACTAAAATCAATAGTGAGTCGTGACTTGCTTGCACTCGACGAAAAACACGTGATTTGACTCACGTGATTGGTTCATGGTTGGTTTTATTTCACCGCTTGGCGATTGGCTGAAAAATCTCAAGGCCCTTGTGTTAACCAACGAGCAAGATCTTTAAGGTGATGTTACACGGGACCATTCGCAACGACGATTTTAGCACAACACAGAGCTGTAATGTTGGAACAGTGTTGTAAACATTCGATACAATGTCGCAACAATGTTGCAACGCTGTGTTGCGCTAAAAATTGTCCTTGCGAATCGTCTAGCGTAACATCACCTTAAATCTGTAAAAGAAGGGGGCATGAAATGTCCGCGCATTCTTAAACATGTTTTCCTTGGCGCACCCTGAATTTCTATAACTGTTGCTAAAAATTGTCCACTATATCTTACCAAAAAAGGATTGGATAAATACTAACCGCCTCGGCGTGTTGTTTAATCTTTTCGGTCTCCATCTTCGTTGTAGCCTGCTCTAATGCTCGCAAAGCTCTCTGTTGATCTTCTTCACTATCTTTGAGTCGTTTTACCTCTTCATTAAGCTCAATATTTTGTCCCTACAAAGGAATGAAATGCTGTTTTCTAAGCTATCTCTAGTGGTTTTCAACTTCCTTTGACGGGATTCTCTTCAGCACATGGAAAATGTTTCTGGTAAATTTAAGACGCCTACCCTCCCTTATTTAAAAAATAGAAACAGAGAAGGCTTTCAAGAAGTAAATGCATGTAACAGATAACCGCATTAAAAATACACTGTAAAGCAGAAAGATCTGTTTTAGCATTAAAAATGCAGTAATGTAGGAGCTGCTCGAAAGGCGTTTCCTCATTGGTCGCAGAAAACAGTAACACATCACTGTTTATCGTTATTTCCCATTGTTTCACGGTTAGGCTATCAAACCAATTGGCTTTTAGCGTTAGGAGAGCTGCAATGAGGCCGTTTCGGTGACTAAAACACAGTCCTATTTTTGAGTCTAATTTGGCTCCCTTGATCATGGTCAATAAACTAGGGCTGATTTGGAGCCAAAGGCTGAAATGGGCACCGGCGTGGGCTGGAATAGCCTTTTGATTGAGCTGTTTTGGCCTAAATTGTGCTCAAATGGCTCCAGGAGGGCCCGAATCAGACTTTGGCCGGCAGGGCTGAACTGGCACTTTAGGGCTGAAACAGATCGTTTTAATTTTCAGTGATACATGAACCAAACATATTCCTCTTGCCTGTATTTCATTTAGAGCTTTCTGTAGAGAATCTTTGGCTTCCTTTTCTTTAAGCAGAGCACGTTTTAACCGACTGCTGGCCGCCAGTGAAGCTTCTCGCAGTTTCTTTTCCTCGGCCTCTGTTTGCAAAATCCAAAAACGCGTGAGTTATCAGGAGTACTTGCCATTTACACAAACCACCCGGGTAAAAATCTGAATACTGTGGAACCTCGATATAACGAAGGGCTAAGGGACTGGCAAAATATGTTCGCTATAGCGAGGTTTCGATATATCTAGGTTCTTTTTCACATATTTTACCGTATGACCCCACTTGCTTTAGCAAGCAATATGGCTGCTGAAGCAACATGTCTTCAAGCAAATATCGAGGTTCCACTGTAAAAACATAAAAAATTGGGCGTGGAGGAAGAACGACCCGCTACAAAGTATGAAAACAACGAAAGAATGTCAATGAAAAGACAGTGTACAATGAATTCATTTGGCCAATCAAAAGAGGTGCAGATAATTTAAGGAACCGATCACAATTTTGAAGCAAATACATCACAACGACCTAAAGGGCGGGAAAATCCGTTCAAGCAAGTCAGGACTGGGTTCAGTTTTATTTCTGAGTGGTTAAAAGCAGTGGCGCCAGATTTCATAGCTAATCACACAGCATGGAGATCACGTGCAGAGAATTCTGTAACATTTTCACTACCAATTTTACAAAGGGGTACGAGAACATAATTAACCACTCCAGAAAATACCATAACATACCACAGTACTCTTTGTTGGTCACTCCAAAATTTTGCATAAGCATTGTCTTCAGTTTCTCTTGGAAGTTAAAATGGCCCCAAGAGAAACTGAAAACAATGCTTATGCAAAATTTTGGAGTGACCAACGAAGAGTATTATGGTATGTTATGGTATTTTCTGGAGTGGTCAATTGAAATTGCACTTAGGAATTCATAAGAACTCGTTGAAACGTGTCCGTGCGTTCTAGATCGAATAGGCCATTTTACAGTTATGGATGGAACCGAGGCTGAGGGTGACCTTGTTTTGATACTAACCTTCTTGCTTTATTATGTAAATCAAGTTATTCTTATGCTTACTTGTATTTTTCAAGAACAATTTCCATAACAAAGCGAAGAAGGTTTGTATCAAAACAAGGTCACCCTCAACCTCGCTTCCATCCATAACTGTAAAATGGCCTATTGGAATTTGGAAGTGTTGGTTTTTAAGGAGAGGGGAAAACCGGAGTACCCGCAGAAAAACCTCTCGGAGCAAGGAAGAGAATAAATAATAAACTCAACCCAGGCCATACTGGTGGGAGGCGAGTGCTCTCATTCACCACTGCGCCACCCTTGTTCCACAAACGAACCTCTTAACTGTAACTCTTTCACTGCATCTACCATTTTCCTTGCAGCTTGCTCAGCTTTCCACCGCCTTTCACGCTCGGAATCTAATTCTTGGATCAGCGACTAAAAATAAAGAAGACAGGGAAGAAAATTTATAATGTATTCATAAAATCATTGAGGTTGCGAAAACTTGTTGCAGAAAGTAGAGAGCGGTTCTCCATCTCGCAGGAAATCAGTACAAGTTGCACGATTTACCAGCCCAAGGCAAACCTGTTAGAAGTGAGTCACTCTTGAGTATATTTATGACTCCCGCGTAATTTTAGCCTATCAGAAGTCGTTATTCACCCAACTTGCAACAGCCTGATTTGTTGCAAGACTGGTTTGATTAAGTGTCGGCATATTAACGAGATTGGAGACTGAACAGTACTCTGAAGAGAAAGAATAGGTTGTGTCACAAAGGAGACTGAAAGACGTTCGAAAGAAAACGAAGAAACTGTAAGCACACAAATATTCCAAAAGCACATCAACTTATGAATCAGTTTCTCAATTTGTGCACGGAGATCAGTAAAATTTGGACTAGATAAGTATGAGGGTCTCGATCCTAAATTAGGGTATCATGGCATTGTGTTCTCCTTATGATCCTTAGATAGAGTACCTAAATTCACGGTGTAAGCTTAAATTCAAGTGCGTAAGTGTCCAGCTACACGAGAAACAAATCATCTGTTAAAACTGAACTTTAACTTAGAGTATTAGGAAAGTGATTTAATGAAGGTTTAAATTAGTTTTTGTTTTTCCCTAGGGTGCCAGTTTCGGGTTTATAGGGTATAAATTTTCGTTTGTCTCATCCTTAAATAGGAGTGTAACGTTACGTTACCATGGTAGCAATATTTCTGGACCTCAACAATCTTTCTTGATAGTGACGGTCATTTGCATTGTCGAACGACGGAAGAAAAGTATGAGTCCACGGTTTGTTGAGATCGAGAAATATGGCTAACACAACGTGACGTGACGACTTCTCCTACCTATAGGGACTGGGTTCGTTGAGGGCTATGGGCGGCACACACCTATCCAAAATTTATGGGAGTACCCTCCCCCCCGAAACACTGACCAGAAATGTCTCATCATCTTTAGGGTCTCTGACTCTCACAGATTTTCCTTTGACTGCAAGTTTCCGGGTTTGTTCATCTGTCGGTGATGTAGAGCTTGTTGATTCAAAAGCGACTGATGGCTTGCTGCGAATTTTGGCTTGTCCTTTCCTTGACACTGGAGCCCGCTGCTTTCGCTTAGTTTGAGGTGATCGTTGAACCCGTTTTACGCCTTTATCATGTTGTTCATTTGATTCAGAATCATCTGAGTTGCTGTTTTCTAATAAAAAAAGTTAACAAAGAATCATCTTCATACTCGGAAAACTGTTGGATTAAGAGCCAACCAGCTACTGTAGGATTTGAAAATCGGGCTTTTCGGAAAGGATTCCAATTTTTTTCTATTTCCTTTCCTCCGACGCAGGCTACCTTTTCATCTTCAGGTTCAAGTTTATCATAGGTGAGTGCCACACGCAGTTTCCGAGGGTTTGCGAGCGACGTATTTCTAGAAAAAGGAAACCGCACACCGAACGCCGAATGAGTTTGAAGTTTAGTGATAAGGGTTAGGAAACTGAGTGAATCAAGTTTCAGGTCGGTTTGTCCGGTATAATAATCTAAATGGAACCTGATTCACTCAGTTTCCTAACGCTAATCACAAAACTTCAGAGTCATTCGGCGTTCAGCGTGGGGTTTCCAGATTTCGGGTCTTAGGCAAACCCTAGAAAAGTACTTCTAAGGAGGCTTTCATGAAAGATACGACTGGGGTTGCAATTCAAAGATTTTTTTACTTTCTTCGCAGAAGGGTTGTGTTGTTTGCACATCTCATTTACCCTGCGTAAATACAAAACAACAAAGAAAAATTCTACTTTACANATTTTGGCTTGTCCTTTCCTTGACACTGGAGCCCGCTGCTTTCGCTTAGTTTGAGGTGATCGTTGAACCCGTTTTACGCCTTTATCATGTTGTTCATTTGATTCAGAATCATCTGAGTTGCTGTTTTCTAATAAAAAAAGTTAACAAAGAATCATCTTCATACTCGGAAAACTGTTGGATTAAGAGCCAACCAGCTACTGTAGGATTTGAAAATCGGGCTTTTCGGAAAGGATTCCAATTTTTTTCTATTTCCTTTCCTCCGACGCAGGCTACCTTTTCATCTTCAGGTTCAAGTTTATCATAGGTGAGTGCCACACGCAGTTTCCGAGGGTTTGCGAGCGACGTATTTCTAGAAAAAGGAAACCGCACACCGAACGCCGAATGAGTTTGAAGTTTAGTGATAAGGGTTAGGAAACTGAGTGAATCAAGTTTCAGGTCGGTTTGTCCGGTATAATAATCTAAATGGAACCTGATTCACTCAGTTTCCTAACGCTAATCACAAAACTTCAGAGTCATTCGGCGTTCAGCGTGGGGTTTCCAGATTTCGGGTCTTAGGCAAACCCTAGAAAAGTACTTCTAAGGAGGCTTTCATGAAAGATACGACTGGGGTTGCAATTCAAAGATTTTTTTACTTTCTTCGCAGAAGGGTTGTGTTGTTTGCACATCTCATTTACCCTGCGTAAATACAAAACAACAAAGAAAAATTCTACTTTACACCGTAGCGAATTTAGTATCATGAAACGCCAACCAAAAGTCAATTTATTTTACTAACGAAACCAGACCTACCGGTTACCGGTTGTTTCGAAACAAACGGTCGTTTCGGTACAAGTTTACAACGAAATAGTTTCACGTCCTTGGCTTAACGAACGAAGAATATTCACGCAAAATGTGTTTCTTGTTCACGCGAAAACTATTTCACTGCTTGAATTCGTATCGAAACGACCATTTTGCGACCTACCCTTCCTAGGTGTCTTTTTGAGATTATGACTTGAAACTTGTGTCCTTTCCTAAAATGGAACAGATGTTTGGTCATTTGTTGCAATAAATCTATCTGTATCCCCCTTCGTGAACTGTCAATGTCGAAATAACATTATTTTGTTTTTATCAAAAGCCTAGGATTCCTGCTATCATCGAAGACCCAGGGCAGCTGTTCGTCTTGATCACCTTCACCTAGGTCCGTTCCTCTTTCAATCTTTTGCTCATAAAATCCTATGAATCCATATACGAGCTATGCCTGGGTATGCAAAGATGAGATTCAAGTTCAGAACACAAAACACAGTACAATGCCACGTAGCCTCTCCGGTGCCAAAAGCATGAATCACCACAAACAGAGAATTAGGAAGCTAACATTGGAGGGATAGGTCTTAGTCAGAAAAGGTTCTAAATACACTCTTACGAAGATCTAGTGCTTGAAACAAAACCCCTGAAATCTCTGATGTCCTTAATAATTGTGATATTCTGAAGCTATTTTAAAAAGAGTTTTACTAATATTAAGGAGCTCTTTCCAAGGTGGTGTTGACGGATTTTCCCTAACTTGTCCAGGTCTATAATCAAAGGTTGCTATCACAGTGGAATTTGAATTCAGGCTTAGAAAACATGAGCCACACCCAACTTACAGTGTTATGAATCAGTCGCATCANATCATCGAAGACCCAGGGCAGCTGTTCGTCTTGATCACCTTCACCTAGGTCCGTTCCTCTTTCAATCTTTTGCTCATAAAATCCTATGAATCCATATACGAGCTATGCCTGGGTATGCAAAGATGAGATTCAAGTTCAGAACACAAAACACAGTACAATGCCACGTAGCCTCTCCGGTGCCAAAAGCATGAATCACCACAAACAGAGAATTAGGAAGCTAACATTGGAGGGATAGGTCTTAGTCAGAAAAGGTTCTAAATACACTCTTACGAAGATCTAGTGCTTGAAACAAAACCCCTGAAATCTCTGATGTCCTTAATAATTGTGATATTCTGAAGCTATTTTAAAAAGAGTTTTACTAATATTAAGGAGCTCTTTCCAAGGTGGTGTTGACGGATTTTCCCTAACTTGTCCAGGTCTATAATCAAAGGTTGCTATCACAGTGGAATTTGAATTCAGGCTTAGAAAACATGAGCCACACCCAACTTACAGTGTTATGAATCAGTCGCATCAGCTGATGTTCAAGGGTCTCTAAACGAACTTCATGATCAGCTGACAGGCTTACTCTAGCAGAGGGTTGCTTCTACAGAAGTGAAATAGTAGCGACAAATGACTGACGATCAAATTATCATAGATTACCTACATCCCCTTAATTAAAAACAATAATTTAAAGTAGAACTTCCAGCTAGGCTCGATTACCAGCCCCTGTTCGGGAAATGAGCCTGCACTGCGCTCCTCCTCGGAACAGATGGGGAGGACCGAGAGAGCGGCGGAAATCAAACCTAACTTCCAGCTAAATCATACCAAACTGAGGAGACATTGTATCCAATTGTCCATATTCCACATGTTCTCATTATTCAGGGAGAGAGTGTATAAAAGTTTGAAACCTTTGTTACCAAGACTCTCTTAGATCCACAGAAAATTGTTCCTCTAAATTAAAGCTATGCCACAAAGACTGAGGTTCTTTCTGCTAGAGCAACAAAGCTAGGAGTTTGTTTTTAATTAGTATATACTATCAATACCATTGTTGACTCTTCCATTCTTCTTTCTTCTCCTGTGTCTGTTTCTGATGAGATGGGCCCACGCTGTCGGAATTTTTCAAGCACTGAGTCAATTCTTGGGGTAATAACTTCATATTTGGAGTCTTTCTACAAGGACAAGAATGCAAATTTCTACATGCTCTGCACTACTTTGTGACCATTCACCAGTACAGATAGCAGGTTTGCTGTCCTACAAACACGGCTGGTTTTCAGATGCCAGAATGGAAAGTAAGTATGGGAGATTGTTGCAATAACTATTACAAGCAAATGCAATGCCCCCCCACTATGTTACTTATTAAAGAATGTTATGTAGAAAGAGTAACTAACCAGAATATAAACTGATAGGAGTTAATTTCGTTTGCAAGGTCTCTCCCCTCTCCACCCCAGAAGAAGCAATATTGTTCTGGGGTCGGGAGAGGAAAAAGCCTGGGAGCACCAGTGATTTTTGCAGAAAATTTCACAACACTCCTTCAAGTGGTACCATTTGACTAGCTACAAAGAGTAAAATCTTAACTAACATTATAACAAAAAATTAACAAACTAAATATTATTGTAAACTTTCAGTAACATTCACTTACTAAAGGGCTTTCACTAGAACTTTCTGATTGTAGGTATTCTAGATAGTCATCCATTTCTTAAAAAAAAAAAAAAGCAAAAATGTCACTAATATTTCCATTTCCCATATTTGCTTCAAGAAAAGTTGCCTCTGAATTTGCACCTGCATCAACTCAAATATATTAGTGATGCAAATAACAGATAAAAATTCACATAGAAAAGATTCATGTTGCAGTGTCCTCCGTCTAAGTTGATTGATGTTAAGACTTTTCTCTGTTATCTATTCCAATAACTGCTCGATTAGTAAGTAGGTGACTATCATGCCCCTGGGGGTGGGGGGACCTCCTATATAGAAGTGACAGGGACGCTCAGCATAAAATTAAAATAATTTTAATTTTTCACTGAGCATCCCTAGGGGAGATGAATAAGGGTGTGGCTCAAGCTCAAACTGACCCTAAGGGAGACCATACTAAAACAGACATCTAAGTAAGAGTTAGGGATCTAAACAAGTGCCAGGGATTTGGACATGGACATTCTTTTTTAAAAGTTAGATTTCTGTGAGGTCAGTGTCACAGCACTTTTTGTAAATTTCTGCTTGGAATTAAGATTCAGGTACTTATTCTTATAAACTTAAAGACTCCCTGTGTACCGATAAGAGAATCTAGCAATGGTTCAAAAATCAGTTTAGTCTGACCATATTCAACACATCCTTTCTATCAGTCTGTTTATTTGTGCCATGTTTCACAAGGATGACAGGAATACCGAAAGATCATTATTTGAGGAGGTTGTCAGAAATTGTACCTGGAATACGCCACAGATTATCTCTCACTACTACTTGATTCCCACTCTGATCAAGTCCATCTAATACTTCGAGTGCTTTCAAAGCTCTGAGTATGCTTGATCTGTAACCTGGTATCTCACAGACAGGGTTAGCTTCTCCATACTGTGACAATGCCAGTTCTTTAAGCATTTTACAACCAATTAGCGAGCTGATTACATGATCTAGAGAGCTGAGCTGGTTTCCTTGGAGATAAAGGGTTTGCAAACTAAACCCAGGCCCATGGAGCTTTGTCAAACCTGAGAGATTATTAATTGCATTGTAGGACAGATCCACCTTGGTTAGATTCCTGAAAGATACAACAAAGTAAAAAAAAGTCAAGTCTTTTCGCATCAATTTGGAAAACATACCTAAAACTTTGGTTTACTGCACTTTTTAGAAACATGTGAACCCGGAAGTTCAAAGGCCAACTGACGCTTGCATTTTTCGCTGCCCTCAATCATCTTCGCGGACCTCTTAGGAAACAAAACTTTACTTAAATGGTTCAAAAGGTCATGGTTTGTGATCTGTAATAATATTATTGTTGGATTTCGATCCGTTTTGTGTGTTTCTATGTTTCAAGGTTTGTTGCTTGTGATCATAATTATGATTGACGGCAGCAAAAAACGCAATTGAGAAGGCAGCTTTTGAACTTTAGAGTTCGCATGTTTGTGAAAAGCGCAGTAAGCCATGCTGTTATAGTTACATAGGTATGTTTAACTTTGAGCCATGACTTTTAGTCTTAGATTACAGGACATCCCCATGGGAGGTCAATGGAGATACAGATGCACTGCATTTTTATTTCCCTGTCTCTTGGATTGTTCTTGTGCTGGATTTGTTTCAACTCGTGCAGCCTGATGTGCATGGATGTTACCTTGGCTTTACAGCGTACAACTCAAGACTGCCGTAAACAAAATCAAATAGCAGTCAGGGTGGGACTTGAGCTAGGGAGTCCAACTTTCCACCCACTAGGCCGCGCTGCCTCCTACAAAAACCTTTCCCTGAAACCTAACAAAAAATCTTCCCGAAACCTAGCATACACGTACAGTGAAACCCATTTAATATGGACACCAAGAGGACATGCCATAGTGTCTCTATTAACCAGGTATCCGTTTTAAGTAGGTTCATTTTAGAGAAAAATATATGAGCTTGTTTCCGTCAGGACAAAAGAAACTGTTCATTACATATGGGTGTCCATAAAGCAGAGTTCCAGTGCACCAACTTAGACAGACTGATCAGTACCTTAAATTTTCGAGACCTTCTACAATCAGCAACTCATTGCAGGATAAGTTGAGCGTTACCAAGCTCTTCAAACCATTAAGTCCTTGTATTCTTTTAATGTGATTGGATGACAGATCCAAATGTTTAAGGTTCTTAAGTCCATCGAGGTTTTCTATTTCTGAGATGTTATTACAATGCAGATTTATGGAAATCAATCCAGGATGAAGATGAACATCAAACAGGCTATTAATCTGCGCGTCAATATAGCATATCTCTTTTGGAAACGTGCGGGAAACGACATCATAGCTGCCTCCCTCGTTGACATCTTCAGTCGCCATGGCCCATTTATACTGTTACAATTTGATTCGAGTTGGTAAACTCGGGAGAGACTTCTCCTCGATTTCGTCCATTTCAACAGCAGATGCGCGCTTTTTCCACTCTCTTTTTGTTTATCATTATCTTCATATCACACACACTCTGCTTGGCATCGACTCAACCAAAGTGGAGACGAAGGTCTGTCGATACTCACAATCTCCAAAGGCATTTATAATAGTCTGATTCCCGATTCCCCTGGCTGTTTTCAAAATGGCGCCTAATAGAAGTGTCCGCTGGTCAAAGTTCTCATACTTGCTGCATCATCAATGACGTAATTTTCCCAAAAATGCGTAATTTTTGGAAGCTGACGGTATTGTGCCCACGGTGATACCCCAGCGGATTTCCAAAGTAACACTATTTTGGCAGCCATATTTAGTTCCTGCCGTTCTCGGAGAGACTTTCTCTCCATTTCTTGGAGTTTTTTTGGACTGGTTTGCCCTGATTGCGGCTATGTCTGGAGATACGCTTAAGGTAATATTTTCCTTTCCCCTTGAAGAGTATTCTTTTTCGGAAAGAACTTCTTTTAACGTTCTCTTATGATAAGAAAAAAGCTTACTCAAATTGATAAGTTTCCTGCGAAATGGTTTCCAACTTTAATCTTGTGTTTGTGTTTTATAGAAAGCGATTGAAATTGTCACAAAAGCTACAGAGGAAGATAAAGCTGGAAATTATGAGGAAGCGTTACGTCTTTATGAGCATGGAGTGGAATACTTTCTGCATGCGATAAAATGTAAGAGTTTTTTTTACCTGGCATAATTTTTAAAGCTAAGTATTTATGTAGGTTCACATCAAGCCCTTGTGCTGTGTTTCGTCTGTTTTGTACTTGATTACTGTCGTTCATAGTGTTTATTTGTTTGTTTTTGTGCTGAATGATACGAAACAGTCTTGATCAACTTTGTTAAGCCCAGTATTTTAGATCAGTAGTTTTCGTCTTAATTAAACTGCCGGGGTAAAAACATTGATTTAGTCCAGTGACAAATAAACTCCACTTTTTTCTCCCAATGTTGGTCAACCAAGTGCCATTTCTTATTATTTTACAATTTTGACTAATTAATTCGCACCAACTTCACTTACATGGTACCTTAACAGCAGGTACAATAATTGATCACTGCCCAGTCATAAGTGTCAGCTAAGCAAAATAGGTGAAGCCTTCCAAGGAGTAAAAGCAAAATGTTTCATGGCCTTGAAAACTGGTGACAATCTTCTCAGAAAGCACCGTCAATCAGCACAAAAAAGGGAAGAATTGTGACGGTGACTATCCATTTTTAAGTAGTGAAAGTGACATCTTTTCACTTTTTCAATTTGGCTGTTCTGGCAGTGAAGTAACAAACTCTCTTCTATTATTTCAAAACTTTTCTGTTGTTTTCTTTGGAACTTTTTCTAACATTTATTATTATGTTATTGTTCAAGAATGTTCCGTCAAGGGAGAAAGGTCAATAACAATTTTTTCCTTCCAGGTGCTATATCTGCCGTAATTTCCAAAAAAAATTGAGTATCACAAAATTTTATGCTGAACCAACAGCGACATTTTGTTCCTAGCTAAAATTTAACAGGAACATTTTTTGCTAACCTACTTGGCAACAGGCAGTCTCAGAAATGACCGACCAAGCGACTGTACCTGGCAGCCTTAGATCTTAGTGACAGCCTTGATAATCATGTCTCACAGCTTATTACTATTAGGCCCAAAGCAACGCATCAACAAAGAACAAATGCAACACCAAACATGGCCATTTTCTAATGTCATTGTTGGTTTGTGTTATTAAAGTTCATTGTCCTTGAGTAATTTGGTAAAAGGCATGTTAATGTTTTATTGGTTTTACACTTAGCATAGATGTTGTGGTTCAATTTTATCCTTGGTTTAAATTTTATTTTCCTTTGTTCCAAACTCATCATCATAGATAAACATACCCAAAAACAAAGAAAAATAAAATTTAAAGCAAGGATAAAATTGAACCACAGCGTTGATATTAGGCCCTTCCACAGTGTTTTTAATCTTTTGACATGGACCAGTTAAGGAAAATCCGTTGACATCACTGGAAAGAGAGCCTTAAAATTAGTCAATTTGTGAAATTTGAAGGTGATACGTCATAAGCAAGTGAAGATATAACTCTGCAAAGTTGCGAAAATTTACAGACTTTTGTATTTGCCCCCAAAACATACAAATGTCTTTAAAAATTTGCAACGTTGAGGAGCTATATCTTGGTTAGCTCTCAACAAATCACAGGGATGTTAACAAGAGCCGGTAGCCGGCCAAAACCGCCAGCTAGTTAGCCAACCTAAGCTGGCTACTTTCATATCCTTGTACCATAACTGCTAACAAAAACTAAGTACCATCGGATAAAATTGTAGAGCATCTGTTTCCCAGTTTTGAATGACATCAAACACATATTTCAACAGGTTTAGATCTGTGAAACGTTCGAACCTTGCGATGTCTTGGAAGGCCTGGGACATTGTGACGGCATTGTTGCCAGTCTTGTGTGCATTCTGACGAAACAACGTGCCGTACGTGGTGAAAAATGCCTCGTGAAAACCCCTGCAAATGCCATTTCTGAGACTCTAATTTTCAAAATGTCCCTAGATGCCTCAGCCCTCAAGAATTTGTACCTTTGGTGCGAGTTCCAAAGCCGCCTAGCATTCCTTATCAGCCTGCTACTTAAAAACATTTTGACAGCCCTGAATCACTTTCAAACTTGGCAATTTTACTTACATTAAAGGCGCTCTTTCCTGTGGTGTAGACGGACTTTACCAAACTTGTCAAAAGTTGAAAAAAAAAAAAACCGTGGAAAGGTCTGTTAGGAAATGTGGATGCTGAATGATGCTTCATCTGTGAATTCCTGGCAATAAATAATTAGAAAGTAGACCTGTAATGTGGCATACCATAAGAAAATATTTTGTAACTTGTAGTGATATTTTTGGTTCAATTCTATAGATGAAGCCCAGGGAGATAAGTCTAAAGAAAGTATTAGACAGAAGTGCATCCAGTATCTTGAACGAGCTGAGAAGCTTAAACAGTATGTGAAAACCAAAAACAAAAAGAAGCCTGTTGCATCTTCTGGTGGTGGAAAGGAGAGCAACAACAAAGGAGGGTTTGTATCTAGTTTTGTTTTATTTCTGTATTTCTCTTATCATTTTGAGAGGATTTATAAACAAACTTCACCACTATTACTCGTACTGAGACATTATTTCACTAGCATGTACCATGCGACATTGCTTTTATCCCATCAATCCTAGAGCGCCTGCAAAGATGGCGGGTATCATGAATAAGGTCTATTCAATTTTTGTTTTTTTTTTGAGCCTTGCATCAAGAGCAGATAAGCTTGTGGAAGCCTAGAGTGTCTTGTAAAAGGGAAAAAGGTAACAGAGCAAAAGCTGGCCTTGCCATATTCCAAGAAGAAAAAAGCAGACTTGAATTGTCTAAAGCTTAGCTTAGCCTATACAGCACTTTGCTAACTTAAAAGTTTTGCTTTTTTATGAAAAGGAACAAAGAGGATAGTAGTGATGATGAAGATAATGCAGAAACAAAGAAGCTTAGGGGACAGTTAAACAGTAAGTAATGAAACCCTGCTTTCCCTAAAAAATGGAAAACTCCTTACCAGTGTAGGTCGGTTATTTAATGAAGTCTAACTTACAGTGTAAGCTGTGGTTTAAAAAATCATTGGACCTCCATATGTCTTCCTCAGTAGGTAAATTGAATAAAACGAGTGCTTTTCTAGTATATTTATGTTTTTTTGTTTTTTAAAATCAGGATTATTGTTTTAAGTTAAGATGCACTTTTTATTTGAGTGTCAATGTATTTAGCTCAAAAGTACCAATTGAGGGCGCTATTGTTATGTCTCCTACTGGAAAGGACTGCCATTTTATATGTATGTGGTCATCTGAGCCATGCAAAGATCTAGCCATTTGCAGAGCAAAGGAGGTACCTTCATTTTTTAGTTATTTTAAGACCCTGAGTATTGGTCTGCTCGTGGAGATTAAACCCACAACGGCCCACTCCGCAGTCAACTTCTGTACTGACTGAGCTAATCCTGCCCACAAGTGTCTGCATTTTCGATTGACAAGCCAGTGACGGTGTATGTATTTAAATCTCAGGTGCAATTGTAGTGGAGAAACCAAATGTACAATGGTCAGATGTTGCTGGGTTAGAGTCAGCCAAAGAAGCCTTAAAAGAAGCTGTTATTCTGCCAATCAAGTTTCCTCACTTGTTTACAGGTAATTGATAGTCATCTTGGCTGAATATTGAATCTCAATCCAAAACAGTCATGCTCCCACCCTTTCATTTTTTGACCTGGAGTGAAGATGATGTGAACTGTGGAAATATAAATCTCAATGAGGATATGCCGTCCCAGTGGTAACACCAATCTGCACATTGCGAAATAATATTTTGTGCTTTAGTAGGATTTTGAATCCATGGCTAACTAACTAACAAAATTTTTTTCATGTGAAGATGAAGTAAGCTGTAAGGTTTAAGCTACAAAATGTTGTTCTAATACTACTGGCCCCAGTTGCTCAAACGTAGGATAGCGCTATCCAACAGATAAATCACTATCCTGCAGCAGATAAGTATTAGGAAACCAATAATTTACACTATCCGCTGGATGGTGATTTAGCCTTTGGATGGAGCTATCCAATGTTTGAACAACCGGTGCCTATGCATTATTTGCTCTGTTTTCAGGAAAACGCAAACCCTGGAGTGGAATTCTGCTTTATGGGGTAGATCTCTCTTTTGTTATTGTTTATTGATACATTGTATATTTCAAAATGTGCAGAATTAAGTGATAATAGATATGCTTCAGGTCAGTATATTATAATTGATTCAGGGTAATTCTCAATTTGTCTCCTAGCCATTATTCACGGATAATTATGGCTAGGAGGCAAAGGAAATTTACAATCAACTTAGGTTAAAAAAATGTAACCTGAATTTAATTTTGACATGAAACAGATACAGGTTGTACTCTATGCTAAG